TTTAACTGATGTACCATTTTAGTTACTCCATTTCCGTAAATAGACTAAGTTCCCAGGGACCAGCGACCATGCGTCATGTTTTCTCTGCGTTTTCAAAAATGCCTGGCATAGATGTAGCTGTTCTATAAACAAATGTTAATTCATATTTCATTTACTGAGTTTAATTTATTATAGCAAATTTGTTGTGACTTTATCTCCTCTAGCTATATATTTTTCGTAACTATCTTGATAATAATGTGTAATACAATATAGGCCCTTATATATACTACATGCTTTCATAAAAAATAGACAAAATCATAAGTTCATGTTTAAAGGCACCTCCCGTCTTCCTATGTTTTGTTTGCTTTTTGTTTCTGTTTTTTGTTTTTACATATAAGGAAGTTATTGATCAGAGATATTACATGATTAAATGAATGTCAAATGCAAAGTTATAAAGCTAGCTGGTGGCCCCAACAAATCAGATAAAAACTGCTAGTGTTAAATAAAATGAAGAATTGGGAATTAAATATGATAACACAGTCTGTTAAGACAGGTGTATATATTTTTCCAGTGTCTACAGAGAGAATGTAATTCTACCATTATAAGGAAAAAGAAATCTTGCTTCCCCAGAGTTAGAAGTGCTTTAGCAGAAATGAATTCATTTAATTTCACTGACTCCCTGGGAAGAAGTTTGGAGAACATATTAACTCTATGTTATAAATATACTGTCCAGAGAGTTGAAGTGAAAGAGCTCAGACTATTCACCAAAATTGGTGGTTAAAACTCTAATCCCCACACGGGGAAGGCACATCTGCCCATAGGACAGCATCATGGGTTTATAAATACGGTGTGGTATAAAATCATTTTTCGATTAAAAAAAAAATCACATCGACATCTTCCAAAATAGTTCTCTAAGTAAAGCTGTTCAGAGGAGCAGATATACAAGAACAAGGGGAGAAAACAAAGAGGAACATCTGGACAACGTCACGTTCAAACTGTCCTGTTTCTTTGAACCATGTGACTACATGGGGTACCAGAGGGTAAAAGACGGAATGATACTTTTCTGGTCTTTATGCAATCTGGAATAGTAACTGTTTTTTTCTCCCCCCCCCCCCGCAGGATAAATTTTAAATTACTATAGAGAGAAGAGAAATATAAAAGATGAGATACGCCACAGAAATTCCCGCACAGTTCCCAGAGGAGAAGTCCAAGTAACCAGCAAACCTCTCCTCAGAGAAGTGTTTAACTGTTATATGGTTAATCCATTTGGAACACCTTGTTCTAAACAGAGAGACAAAAGAGCTTTGCTGTAAAGTCTTCGACTTCAACTCCCAAAAAGACAACAGTGGATGAGATGACCAGAGAGACTACTTGGAAACTCGCGTGCTTGTGGTGTTTCTGAGTCATGTCTTTAGCCAGGGATAAAGCTGATTTTGAATGATGTGGCACATGCTTCAGAAACGTTTTGCCCTAGACAGATGGACCAGGTGGAAACTATGAACTGGCTTCACACACAGGACCATGATGAGCCAATGCAACACTTTCGTGTTTTCTGTTTCTGTGCAAGTCGTCCAGTGAACAATATAATATCGTAAGACATGGTAAATGATGTGCCTTGGTTTCACTTCTGACTAAACTATTTTTAATGTTATAGATGTTTTTAATACAGGGATTAAAAAACAATTAGACAAATTTAACAAAAAAGGCATGACATATTTTGGATAGTGAACATATTCCAATTCTTCCATCAACGTACTGGCTTGCTCTGATGCATCAGTAAAGACATGGTGCAAAAGGGGGATAAAACTGATCAAAATCACAGATGTCAAAGATTTTCTTTCCAACAAGATCTCGTAATAAGCTTTAACGCTTTTCTGAAAGATTATATTACCAAAAAAAAGATACAATAAAATTATAATGCCAATTTGCTGAGAACTAGAAGACGATTAGCTTGGGGGAAACAATATTCATTCATGGGTTGCTGCTTTAATAACTGTTGGAGGAAGGCAACATTTCACTTTAAGATTAGAAAAATATATAACAAGTATTCCTTTCTGGATTGGGCTTAAAATTTAATGAAAAGCTGTGTGGGCGAAAAAAATTCCAGTTGTTGGCACAATACCAAAATGGAACAAATGAACAGCACTTAGGCGATAGCACTTTTTGTACAGGACATGGGAGGGCCACAGAAGAGCTGAAATTAACACGTGGAAAATAACTGCACTGGTTCCTAAGAGGTATTCAGAAACTATCATATATACTCACTCAGCTTGTAAATCTTTGCAAAGGCTACGGTGAAAAATGATCGTGTTTCATTATTATAATTAAAATACAGTGGTCTCAGATGCTTTTCTAAAGAAGTAAAAAAGAGAAAACATAGACAGTCTGGGTACAATTGTTTAAAAAGGGGAAGCATTTAAAGGAACTATAATTTTAAGTGTTTTTTTCAAGTGATTTATTAAAACGTAATTAGGTTGTGTGTCTATGACTAGGAAAGAGTAACAGGATTACCCATATAATAAATGCACCTCATATTTTATAGATTATAATTCTCAGCTTCTGGTATTTTCTATTTTCATAGAGAAAATCTTACAGGAAACTATAAAATTTGGTCATCCCCCGTGTACACACTGCTATATTTAAAAAGGATAACCAACAAGGACCTACTGTAGAGCACAGGGAACTCTGCTCAGGAATGTTATACAGCCGCCTGGATGGGAGGGGAGTCTGGGGGAGAACGGATACATGTACATGTATGGCTGAGTCGCCTTGCTGTGCACCTGAAACTATCACAGCGTTGTTAAGGGCCTATACTCCAATATAAAATAAAAAGTTAAAAAATAAATGTGGTCATCCCCATTCACTACGATAAATATGGGCAGGGAGGAATGTTTGGGCTGTATTCACAGCAAGTTGGCAGAACCAAAGTCTAAAACTGACCAACTTTAATTCTTTGCTATAGGTATGCTGAGTTGAATATACTGGTGATCAAAAAGTGAATCTTTAATTTTAAAACAATGAACACTGAGAGTCATAAAATCCTTCAGACGTGAAAGATATGATTTTTTCTATATACTCTTTCATTTTTATCTTGCTTTAAAGCTTTGGAAAGACTCTTACTTATTAACTTCATCTTGGCTTATAACTATTACCTATACCTATGAAAGGGATATTTAGTAATTGAAATTAGAATTTTACTCTTGTGATTCCTAGTCTTTTTTTTTTTTTTGCTGTACGCGGGCCTCTCACTGTTGTGGCCTCTCCCATTGCGGAGCACAGGCTCCGTACGCGCAGGCTCTGCGGCCATGGCTCACGGGCCCAGCTGCTCCGCGGCATATGGGATCTTCCCGGACGGGGGCACGAACCCGCGTCCCCTGCATCGGCAGGCGGACTCTCAACCACTGCGCCACCAGGGAAGCCCTGATTCCTAGTCTTTTATTCACTACAAAAGTAATAAAGTATAAAAGCATAAGGTACTATAAGGATAATAAAAGTAATAATAAAATAAATAAAAGACTATAGCTACTTTTATAAGTTGTCCGTTTTCATTGATAAAATCGGCCACACAACCAGCAAAACTTGTCTTCTCTGCTTCTACTCTATTAAAAGGAGAGATTTTGAGGGCAAAAAAGCAGATCTGGGAGGTACTTGCTTACAGCCCTGAGGTCCCACGAGACATTCTGCACATAGCCCGTGTCTAGATCAGCACAGCGAACAGCAAAACGTTTCTACCGAAACGACATTTTTGTTTGGTGTTATGGTTTTAAAATATATGTCCTTTAAGATGCATTTTATGACTTACAAACAATGGAGGCTTTCTTAGAAAAGGGACTTAAATGTTTGCATACTAGTTATATGATGTAAAAGGGCATTGGCCTTCTTAATGATTTCTTGTGCCTTTTTTCTCATTTCGCTAATTGCTCTTTCTGTTAGCTCACCTGTCTCTCTGACAAGCTTGTTCTTCTTTGTCAACATTTGGGTCACAAGCTAGTAATATTCTGGAGCCGGAGATGGTTGTTCTGATGCTATGGTTTTTTTTCTCATTTAGGACAATCACTGCTACTTGAGAACAGTGGGACACAGCTCTTAGTCAACTGCCAAAGAAATGTGTATTTTTCACCGCATATTCAAATATCTTTTACCACATCAAATTATTTGAGTCCGTGGACCACAGAGAGCCAAAATATCAAGCGTAGACTAAAACTGCATGGCACAATAAACACGTGCTTTTTAATGAGACCTACTAATTTTAACTGCAAGGTTTAAATATTTAATGTAACCTTACTGACAACATCTTTGTTTAATTCTGTCTGTTGAGAGAGAATAACTGTGATACTTCTTAATGGTTCATTAACTCCTTCAGGTCATTGGAGAGAGCGCCATTCTAAATACATCTATAAATAACTGTAGTACATGAAAGAACGCTCTGCCTTCTACATGCGATGATGCTAAACACACTAAATGCATTTCCAAACAAATGCAAGTTGCTGGGTTTTCATTAGTGAGATCGACCTAAATTCCATTTTTATAAAGGAGTTATAAAAGAATAAGCTAATGCCAAGTGTAACAGATGTGTCAGTAAAGAATCTTTTCTGCCCATCTGCTTCTTTTAGTTGTCCTATTCGTTTTGCAGGTGACCACTGGGGTAAAAAGGAACATCATCTTACAGCTTTATCCATACACTGGATGGAGACGTAGGTATCCAAAGTTCCAGACCTCTATGATATTTGCACATCTCTCTTAGGTAACAACGAGGAAAACCACGAGGAAAGCAACTTTATAAATATGAAGGCAAAAAAACCCCCAAAACAACCCACCTTGAAAAAAGCAAAATAACATTCTGGATATAACAGAGAAGATGATAAATGGTATGAACTTTTCACAACACTTTAAAAATAAAACAGCATTATTCAAAGGATGCAACGGAATTGGAAAAAGCAGCAACAATACATCATGAGACATGGAATCATCTAAAAGAAGCAGTCATGGACATAAGCCACACAGAGGATTTCTTTTCTTACTTGCACAAGTATCTTGAGGGGTTTGAAAGGTCTTTCACCATGAAGCACTCGCCTCCATTCACACAGAAAGTTTTCTCCTTCTCTGCACACTTGACAAGATGGCTTGTCCCAGTGGTAGATGTAGATGTGGCTGGATAAAAGATAAAGAAGGGGAAAGGTTTATACCCATCTTTCCCTCTTCTAAGCAGCCTTTAATCTTAAATTCTCTTAAAAGGAAGAGTTCATATAAGATACGGCATACTCCACTAAACTTTCAGGCTTAATAAACAACAGCAAAGACGTTAAGTACTTTCTGGGTGTAATTATAATAAAATTATAAAAGGGTAATTATAGTTAATTGAATTATAATTAAATAGGCAACAGGTTCAACATTTCTTATAACTAATACTTTATCTTCTAAGGAAGCTGGAAAAGAGAACATCTATTGTCATTAAGAAAAATACATTTTCCAGGAAGGCTCAAAAATAATGACATAAATTCACATCAGTGCAACTGAATGTAGATATCAATTTTTAATGGCAAGTAATTAATAAAATTATTTTATTTTGAAATTACGTGATATATGTGTATGGACTTGATATTTTTTAGACATAATGTATAGCAAAGAAAAATACAAGATGGCTTATTTGTTCCTAATGAAAAAAATATTATTAACTGAGTATGTATTAATGTATAGATCAGGGGGCATTCTGTTCAAAATTTCCATTCTATTCTAATTTCTACTCAGAAGAATATTATTGAATGTCTGATTGCCATCACGCTTCTGAAGAAATACAAAGACAGTCTAACATTGCTGCAAATGTAGAATAAAGCACTGCAAAATTCATCCATTCTGAAGTAGGAGTAGAAACAAGTTTTAATTTTGGTTTGCAACATCTTCACGTGATAAATCTGATTATTCACTTGCCTTCAATCTTCACAGTTATTGGAAAGTCAGGCTGACACTGATTGCTCCACCATTAGGTGCAAGGATTAAACGAAGCCAAAGTCCTGAGACTGTAAGAGCATTTAGTCTCAGAACTTCTCCCCACTTACAGTTTTGGGAGCACCTTAAACACTGCTCAGTCTCAACCCCAAACAGTCTAACTCACAACATAATGTTTATCACTGACATTATCAGGATGAAATGTAAAACCAACGTGTCCAGCCAATGAAGATTCTATTTACCCTCCCGGGGTAGGGAGAGTCCATCTTCAGACATAAGTTTTTCTCGTTGATTATCTGACTCATTCTTAGTGACTTTTAATTCTTTGTCTTCCTTATCAATTTCTATTTTATGATTTGCGTGTGAAACTCAGATGCCCTTGTTTATTTTATTTGACCTGTCGTATTTTTCCATTTTCTCCTGCCTTTCTTTTTCGTTTCCTTCACAAGCGCACATTTTGCTTTGACATTTAACCTAATTGTGACCCTAACTCTGCTTGATTTTTACTCTACCTGATTGAAATACCGAGCATCTGATTATTCAGTTTCTAAACGACTCGAGGCCTTTCTTGTCTCTTATTCTCCTGTCTAAGGCATGTTTGGGACCATTTCTCTGTTCTCACCATGGCTTTCAGGAGGAACAGCAAAGGACAGTCAAAATGATTTGCCCTTTGGAGACATCTGGTTCAAATCCCATCTCCTACTAGCTTTGTGTCCTTGAGTAAGTCACCTAGCCATCCAGATGGTCAATTTTCCCATTTAGAAAACAGGGTAAGGGGACTCTTACAGGACTCTTATAGAGGTAAAAGGAATTGGCACAAAACTGGCATCCGATGAATAATAGCAGGTATGGTTACTGAAAAAGTAGGGAAGAATCTTAATTTTGCTATCTATCAATCAGAGGTAAAATCTGATAACAGAAATCTGAAGATTTCAAAGAGGCATGCTTTCCTTGAATCATTATAATGGGTAATTAAGAACTGGGTCAATTTTCAAATTATTCCAACACAAAGTCCTTTTCAGAATGCATTTCCAGATGTCCAGCTCAGGTCTACAAACCCAAGCAGAAGAACCAGGGAGAGAGAGGAGAGAGGTGATGTTACCCTCTGCCAGCAGCTACACTTTTACCATCTTTATCAGGAAGAGGGGAAACATAACTTGCATCCCTTGGTCTATAAAATCATAGAGTAGACAATTTCTACACATCACTTAGCATAGATTTTAACATAATATTATATCTTCATGTGAAAAACTGTTTACTTAGGTGCTATGGATATTTTCATCCATGGCGACTGCTTGTAAAAAAAATACTAGGAGGGAGTTTGTCTTAAAGGTTTTGCGCTTACGAGTTTCAGCTGCTGACAGGGATCTACGGGATGACAAATTGGGCAGAGTATTTTTGCCGAGGGGACCACCTGCAGTGTTCTGTCACCATCATTCCTGCAAAGGAGCTCTGAGCCTCAAGCAGACCCCAGTGGTCCCTGAATCCCTGACAGGCTGCTAAGAATTACCCCTCATCCAAACTGGACAGCAAACACTGCAGCAGGCTCTTTCAGGACAAACGCTGAGGCTTTTATTAAAAACAACAAAACCAACCCCCTCCTCGCCAAAGCAGACCCTCCATATTCATTGCAAACTTACAATGAAAATTAGCTGTGACAGAAACAAGAGATAGACACGTCATACCTATTCCTTGGATTTTCTGATCTTGTGTTATCAAATGAGTAGGATTAAGAAATGTGGGTTAAAACTAGAAACAATCCCTTTTTTCCAGTCCTTTAAAAGTATTTTTCTTGACATGATTATCCTGCAGCTCTGAGCTTTGACACATTCATTTGAAAAATTCTTAGATCGTGACTAGGCACTAGGAATGGGACAGTTGATAATAAAATAACTCTTGGAGAAAATGAAGTAGCAACTCTCTGCCATGTCATGGACTATGCTGCTTAGCGCTTTTATCCTTTAGCAGCAGCGAAAACAAAAATGATCATGGAATTGCAAAGCAGCAGTTACCTCCCAGGTGACACAAAGTGTGGACCAACTGGGTACAGCTGTTCTGAACCAACAGCCAAACACAGGAATACGCTGTAATTGTCAGAAGAACCTGGATCTGGATGGTGATATACGCACCTTTCAGATTTTTGCCAAGTTTCCTTATATATTCTCCTTAGTTGACCGCAGTGCACAGTCAGCCCCAAGCACATCTATAAATTTTGCAGTGATATCCTTTCTCTTTGGCCTATATACGCTGTATTGCTAAGTCAGTTTCCGTTTGGCAATTCTGCCAGAATTTAATGGAACAGACAAAGCAGGTTCTCAAACCAAACTGTGGAAACAGCATTCTTTCTGGGGGAGCTGGCAGGAGTTTATCAGGGGTAAAGCTAACAGTTCTGGCAACAGAATGTGCTTTTGATATATAAAAGATGACCTTCATAGCTGCTCCCGGCAGTAGGTGACATAGATCTCACTCATTCAGTCCTTAATAGAAACTGCTTCCCTCTGCTTTGTAACTAGTTTGTCATAATCTGGGAGTTGGTCAACTTCTAGTAAGTGCTAAGTGGACAGCAATTAGGAACAGTGATAAGTGTGACTTCATTACTTTTACGTTTATCATTTATATGAACGTTTTATCCCAAACACACTTTACTTGGGATGTTACCAATTACAAAATTATAAGGAAGAAAGTATAAGTAGAGCAGTTAGCTTGTTACTAGAGAATTTCTTCCGAATGTTTTACTCTCCATCCCGTCTGTCTTGGTAGTATAGGTCAGGACTCATGACCATTCCGGGGAAGTCTGAACAGTTCTCTGACTTAGCCAAGGATTTGGACACTAAGATTACCATTTAAAGATTCCCCAGGGGGCCTCCCTGGTGGCGCAGTGGTTGAGAGTCCGCCTGCCGATGCAGGGGACACAGGTTTGTGCCCCGGTCCGGGAAGATCCCACATGCCACGGAGCGGCTGGACCCGTGAGCCATGGCCACTGAGCCTGCGCGTCCGGAGCCTGTGCCCCGCAACGGGAGAGGCCACAACAGTGAGAGGCCCGCATACCGCAAAAAAAAACAAAACAAAAAAAAGATTTCCCAAATCCTGCACCAGGAAATAGGACTCCCTCCTTTCTAGCCTTCCCTCCCTTCCCTAGCCCTTCTCCTCCCTCCCACCCTCCTTCCCTCCCTCCCTTCTTTTTTCCTTCCTTTCACAGTTCTTTAATGACCGCCTATTATATGCGAGGCATAATAATAAGAACTAAAGTTACTGGGGTTGAAAATTGTAAGACTGTAAACAATTCTCCCTAAAAGGAGATCTTTATAGATGAAATGTAGTGAAATGACCCTGGAGTTATTAGCTGAGAAGAATCAGGGGGCCAAGGCACAATTTTGCCAATTACTAGCTGCGGGGCTCTGGTCCAGCTACCTGCCTCAGCATACTCAGCTGCAAAAATGAGGTATCGCAGGGTTGCTGCAGAGTTTGATACAACACTTTGTCAGTTGCAAAACTGCACACAAGTAGAGGATATGTTTCCATTACTAACAGCGTAAATATGGAACAAAGAGAAGCAAAAACATTTCTGTCCAGACACTGTAAGTACATATCATCAAGTCTCGAATGTTGCTTCTTAGCAAATTATTCTTCTACAAAATGTGAAGAGATGGTCTGATTTGGAGGGGTAACCACTGAATGATTGCAAAGACATCAAGTAAATATCAATAATTTACTCTTAACTTCTTCAAAACCACTGTCAATAATTTATACCCATTCAATTGGCTTACAAGATAAAACTGAAGAACAATTTGAGTTAAAAGAAAAAGAAGCTATCTTAAATGTGTAATTATTTTCAACTTTCCAGATCCACACAATTCTCTAACATTTCTTTAAAAAAATTTTTTATTGAAGTATAGTTGATTTACAATATCATGTAAGTTTCACATGTAATTCTCTAATACTTCTGACTGAGCTTCCAAGTTACATGAATTCACTGTATTTATAATCTTGTGTGTTACTGTAACAGTTTAAAAACTGTAAAATATTTAAAAATAGTATGATGTCCATAGAATATGGGCCATAGTATAAACTTTGTTTATAACTCAACATTTTGGAAATCACGTACTATCGCACACTTTAGTAAATACACAGAATAAAACTTTGAGGAGTAACTGAGTGTTTGTTCTCTGCTCATTACTCAATATTTTCCCATGGAGTCACACAGT